CAAAACATGCTCCACAGTGGACTGAGTGTCGGAGGACAAGGGGTCACGCAAGGGACGTCGTCGAGTCAAGTTCTATCTCAAGAGAGCTATGTCCAACCCCAACCGACGCAGCCGCACCGGGCGAGGCATCGACCTGCTGCCAATATTGGCGGGCGTAGAAGACGCCGTGTCCGCGAACTCGATGCCAACACCGTGCCTGCCGACACCGTGCCTAAGGAACAAGCAGAAGAAGGTCAGATTTTTTTACTTAGCTACAATATGATTTTTAAATTATTTATTTATTTATTTATTGTAAAGTATAATTTCCGATTTTTCTTAAAATATCCTTTATTCATATACAGAAGAAGCTGCCACGCCCACAGATACAGAAGAAGATGCCACGCCCACAGCCTCGTCTTCTTTACAGACGTACCAGCGTCGGAAAGGCTCCCGGGAGCGCAGACCTCCGGATCACTTCACTCCTAGCAACTATTAAGAAATTTATGAACATTTTTTTTTTCTTGACTTTTGTGTAATTTTGTTTGTGGAATTGATATATTTTGGTTGAATATTTGGAATTGTTATATTTTGGTTAAATTTTGTTTTAATATTTGGTTGTTGAATATTGTGCTTCAATTTTGTTTGTGAATTGATAAATTTTGGTTGAATATTTGGTTGTGGAATTGATTTTGACAAACAGTTGTTCTATTTTATTTCTGTTGTAAAATTACTGTTTCTGTACAGTAAAATTGTTAGTTGTTTTTAGGAATGAGAGTGATGGTTGTTTTGTTGACAGGGTTGGGCATAACACCTGTGGAGAAGAAGGATTGGACAGCTTTGAACATAGAGGAGTGGATGGTATTCCAGGAAGCTTGGAAAAAGGAAGGAGACATACCATCGATTCCCGGAGCTTTTAGAAGGTGCATTTCCCACAAGGCTTGTTTGAGTTCCTCCAATGTAACAGTCCTAGTAAGATTAGAATTCATTTCTTCAGTAATAGTGCGAGTGATTCCCTCCAGGCTGTACCACTCATGAACTGGCATAGTGGATTTATAGAATTGGCCAAAGTGATTATGGATTTCTTGGAGGATTTCTTCCTGTGAGGAGCAGCAGGTTCCTGAAGAAGATATCAGACCCTCTAAACTGTTAGTCTTTCTCCTTTGGGTGACAGACGCTTGGAAATATTTGGAGTTCTTGTCGCCTGCCTTAAGCCAATTGATTCTAGCTTTTTGAGCCCAATATATCTCGTCTTCGGCATAAGCTAAGTGAAGGAGATGTCTGGTTTCATTCCACTCATTCCAGTCTTTAGAAGACCCTTGCTGATTGAGTGCATCCAGTCTGATTTTAAAAGAGTCCAGAGTTCTCTTGGAATTAGGCAATAATGTGAATTTCCACTTCAAAAGAGCAATTCTGACATTTTTAATTCTTTCCTGAATGTCATACAAATCATCTGTAAGACTATGATCCTTGTTCCAAGCTTTTTCAACAGTGGAGGAGAAACCTTCAGCCTTTACCCATCTTGAGTCAAAATAGAATCTCTTCTTAGTATTGAAAGTATCTTCATTTGTGCACAGAAGGATCAAAGAGTGATCAGATGATAACAGAGGGATGTGCTTGACTCTGGTTTGAGGAAAGGCAAGGCTCCAATCTGGAGATGAAAAGAACCGGTCTAATCTTTCTTCAATGAAGCTATCTCCTTGCCTGCAGTTATTCCAGGTATATGGATAACCTGTGAAGGGGACTTCAACCATTCTCATAGACTGGATAAATGATCTGAATGAAAGAAAAATGCTCTCATCTCTGTAAGATCCTCCACATTTATCATTGTTGGAAGTGAGGTCATTGAAATCTCCTCCTATTATCCACATTCTGCCCCAAGAGGGCATACAGCTGAGAAGGACGTCCCATTGAATTTGTCTAAAATTTGGGTCATTACTGGCTTGAATGAAAATGGCCCACATAGGAGAAGGATGGCTGGCAGAAGAGAAGCAAACTTGCAAAGCAAAATGATTATGGATAATATCATGGATGGAAATGCTATCAGACCAAAGCAAAAAGAGACCCCCTTTGGTGCCAATAGGCTCTTCAAAAAACCAGTTATTAGAAAATTTAAGCTTTTTACAAACAGAATGAACAAATTTTTTGTTTTTTTTTTTACTTCAGACAAAAAAAAAGTCGGGGAGGTGAGTCCTTAGAGACTCTTTGAACTGGGATATTTTAGAGGGCCCTCCGAGACCTCTACAATTCCACACCGAAACTTTCATTTGAAACTTTGGGCCCAGTCATGGCTGGCTGCCTCCACCAATTTGGACTGAGATGAGTTGTTTTCTGGGGTAGGAGAAGGGAGTTGGGAAGGTTTGGATTTTTAGGGGTTGGGGGTTTGAGTGTCTTGGTATTCAGATATGTCAGTAAGAGGTCTTTTTGAGAGGGATGTAACAGTAGCAGGGAGATTAGAGATTTGAACTTCTATGGGTTCATTATCTGGGGTAGGTTTCCTCTGAATTTGACAGGTTTTTAGAGCTTTCTTACCGGCATAAGATGAGCTAGCAATTTTGCCAATAGAGGATTGGATTAGAGGCTGGGAGAATTTGAACATCAACAAGAGGGATATCATTGATAGCAGGTTGAGGGGACAAAGCAATCGGTTCAACAACCATGGGTTAGATATCAGCCAGTGTGTTTTTATTAAGGACAGTGATAACGTTAGTGGCTTGAGGATTAGAAATAGCTTTAGTAGAGTTTTGAGTAGTCATTGAGGGGGTAGGTGTTTTATTGGATTCTTCTTGCTCAGAAGGTTTTTCGGAGCTGCCTGATTTATAGGAGGGTCTATCAGCCTGATATCGAGCACGATTGGCAGATGAGAAAGTAAAAGAGGCTTTGAGCCACTTGCCAAATTGACCAGTATTAAGCGCATTTCATTTAACATCTTCTTTTTTCTGAGTGCAATCACGTTCCCCGTGACCAACAATCCCACAATAATAGCAGAAAGACTGAAGATTTTTGTACCGAAAGTCGACACAAATCAGTTCATCACCCAATTTTATCTTGGTTCCACGGAGTAAGGGTTCATTGAGGTTGATTTGGGCTAAAATTATGATCCATCTACCAGTAATGCTGCCGGAATCAGGAACATAAACATCTTTTACATCGTCAAAGATTTTGCCAATTTTGAGCCCTGTGTCTACTGAAATCCAGTGCAGTGGAAGACCGTGAATTTGAACCCAAAGATCGACTTTAGCTTCATTCTGCCAATTGATGTGGTTTGCAGTCCATTCCTTCAGAATTGTGTATTGCCCATCAAAGCTCCAAGTTTTCCCCAGGAGGACCTTCTGTTTATCTTCTTCAGACTGGAAGGCAAATTGGAAGATATTGTATCCCACGAGCCTGACTGTAAATGGTTGTTGTGTCCGCCAGATGTGACTGAGCGTTTCCTTGAGTCCATTGAAGTTTATACGCTTGTCTCCATGGATTTTGCCAATGAGACTGCGCGAGCACTCCTTAATTCCCAGGCAGATGTCGTCATTAGATAGGGTAACCCCTACATCCTCCTTGGTTGATAGATCGAAATTTTTGAGTTTGTCGATTATATCGGAATCCATAGATACAATGACGGCTAGAAGAGAACACAGAAAAAGAGGGAAAAAAAATATTGTGCGAAGAAGAGAGTAGATTAGGAACAAAGAACAAATATCAAAGCACATAGAGAGCAAATTGAGATACTCCCAAAGACGGGAACCCTAGCTCTAGATAGAGAAAATAATCTCAGGAAGAGAACTCCATTTTCTACTGCAGCTTTGATTCCTGAGAAAATAATCTCAGGAAGAGAACTCCAAAGCCCTTAATGACTTCAGGCCGATTAGTCTTTGTACAGTTTCCTACAAACTGATTTCCAAAATCTTGGCCAACAGAATCAAACCTACCTTTCAATCTTGCATCAGCCCCAACCAAGCCGCTTTTGTTCCTAGTAGGCAGCTACTAGACAACTTTGTCATTGCTAATGAATGTATCCACCACCTTAAAAGCAAAAGAACCGGTAAATCTTGTTTCATGGCTCTCAAACTTGACATGATGAAGGCTTTCGATAGTGTTGAATGGCCTTTTCTTGCTGCTATCTGTGAAAAAATGGGGTTTTGCTCTCAGTTCATCTCTTGGATCATGGCCTGTGTCACAACCAGCTCTTTCTCTTTTAACATTCAAGGCCAACCCGTTGGAAACCTCAAGCCTTCAAGGGGATTACGGCAAGGAGATCCCCTTTCTCCCTACTTATTTATAATCATTTCTGAAGCCTTCTCCAACCTAATCAAACAAGCATCTCTTTCTCAGACTTTTCAAGGGCTCAAAATTAGCAAAAAATCTCCTTCTGTTACTCACCTCTTCTTCGCTGATGACTCCCTGGTATTTTGCAAAGCCGACCACCACCATGCTGTCATGCTCTCCAATATCATTAAATTATATGGCCTTGATTCAGGACAACGGGTGAACCTTTCTAAATCCTCGGTATATTTCTCCAAAAATACCCCATCTTCGGCCATGTCTGAAATTAACTTGATTTTAAATGGGATCTCCACTGTTAAATCCTCCAGGTATCTAGGGCTTCCCCTCGGCTTGGGTTCCTAAAAAAAAAAAAACACCTTCAGCTATGTTGTTAATAACGTTGCTTCCATAATCAAATCCTGGAAAAACACCTTCTTAAGTGAAGCTGGGAAGGAGATCCTCTTAAAGACTGTCATTGGTGCTTTGCCCACATTTACTATGTCGTGCTTCAAACTACCCCTATGTATTTGCAAAGAAATTTGCAAACTCCAAGCTGATTTCTGGTGGGGTTTTAGAGATGATGGGGGAAAGAAAATACATTGGTCCTCCTGGAATAATCTCTCAAAGCCAAAAGACAGCGGTGGTATGGGCTTCAAATGTCTTGTCTCTTTCAACCAAGCTCTGTTATCAAAACAATTATGGAGACTGCCCAAGAACCCTGACATCCTGATGTCCAAAGTCCTCAAAGGTAAGTACTATCCTAGCTGCTCTCTGTGGGAAGCTCAACACAAAACTGCTGACTCATGGTTATAGAGTACCTGGTTGAAATCAAGAAACTTCCTCAGAAAGGGTGTCCTTCAAAATGTTGGTGATGGTTGTAACACATCCATTTGGTTGGATCCTTGGCTTGCAGGTACCCTAAACCTCTCTCCATCCTCTGGTTTCATTTCTGATAGATTGAGATTGAACAAGGTCAGTGACCTCATGTGTGCTGATGGCTCCACTTGGCTCCACCTGAAGAAGCTTCTCTTATTCTGGACACTCCCTTGTCCAGAAAGGGCCAAAAGGACCTGTTATATTGGCATCCACACAAGAAGGGTATCTTTACTGTGAAATCTGCATACTCTCTCATTCTTGCATCCAAAAAAACCCTGCCCATACTCCCTGAATCAAGCAACACCAAGTCCATTGAGGCAAAGGTTTGGAAGACTACATGGTCTCTAAAAATCAAGAACAAAATTAAAATATTCCTTTGGAGATGCTGGTTCAAATTCATTGGCACTCAAGACCAACTTGTCTTCAAAGGAATTCCCATTGACCCTATCTGCAGAATTTGTGGAGCTTGTGATGAATCTCTGGAGCACTTATTTTTTTCATGTCCTCGGGCCATAAATGTTTGAAAGATTGCAGGAGTGAATTGGACTTGTTTTCAAAATCCATATCTAACTTTTCAAAACTGGTGGATGGAAGTTTGCACAATGAAAAGGGCCAACAACTTTGAGGACAGAATTCATTTCTCTACTTATATTCTTTGGAGACTTTGGAAATGTCGAAACCTTTGGATCTTCAATAATTTGTGGAATTCTGATTTTGAAATTGCGAGTCAAGCTAGAAGAGAATGGGTGGAATTTGAGGAGTTTGCACTTCTGGCATCCTGATTTTGCTCCTTTGTGTTTTGGTGTTCTGGAGCTGACTTCTGTGGAAGCTAAGCTAGGATCTTCTAAGATCAGTGGTTTAGCAGCTACCTGTTCTTCATTCTAACAGCTGCAGGCTTGCTTTTGTCTCCCTTTATCTGTTTTCTCTATGTTGTTTTCTAATTTCTTTAGTCTTTGTGAGCTCTCTTTTGTTCTTGTAGCTTTATGTTTTGTTTAGTCTTTGTGAGGGGCTGACCCTCTTTCCTCTTAGCTGCTGCTAGTCAGTTAAGGTTTGTGCCTGAGTGCACTCTCATTTGTACATACTCTTCTGAGTTTAATATATTATTTCCGTTTCGGCAAAAAAAAAATGTTGGTTGTGTGGAATATGCATAAAAAAGTGTTAAAGGACCGAAAAATGACAAAATCGAGCTGCAGATGGGTCACATGACTCATGTGAGTAGGTGACATGAGTCGTGTGGCTTACATAGATTGATTTTGTAGTTTTGACTTTTCCACACGGGTCGTGTATCATGTGACACGGGTCGTGTGACGTTACACGACCCGTGTGGTTATGTCGTGTGAGTCTGGGAGTATTTTTTATTTTTTAACTAAAAACGTATTGTCAGAATACGGTTTTCTTAAATAAACCGTATTCTGACAATACGTTTTCAATTAAAAAAATTCAAAAAATTTATTATTTTTTTTAGTATATAAAATTTATATAAAAACAAAAAACGTTTGCTTAAAATACGTTTTTGTGTTTAAACCGTATTATGAAAATACGTTTCTTATAAAACGTATTATGAAATTACGTTTTACTTTGATTTAGTTTTCTTAATCACATTCTATATTAGTTTAATTAAGTTAATCATGTTTAATAATTTAATTTGTTATAAAACGGTAAATAAGAATACATTTTACTTTAAAAACGTATTATAAATAATACGTTTTCAAAGTAAAATGTATTCTCATTATACGTCTGTTTTATGTTGGTTGACACATTTTTTTTTTTTTTTTT